GACAGGGTTTCACCATGTTAGCCAGGATGGTCTCAATCTCCTGACCTTGTGATCTGCCTGCCTTGGCCTCCCAAAGTGATGGGATTACAGGCATGAGCCACAGCACCCGGCTGGAAAATCTTTTCTTCTAAGGTGAGATGCAGCCCCCACTGGAGAGGAAAACATCAGAGAATTTTAAAAAGGAAAAACCAAGGTAAGCTGAGGAGCTTCTTGACAGGAGACACAGCAGAGTCCACCCAGCTGGGGTGAATCTCTGCAGTTCCCCAACAGGACAGTGAGCAGGACTCCCAAGTCACTGGTTCCTGCAGCATGGGAGCAGCATGAGCCATCTGTGGTCACATTGTCTCCTCTGGCAGCAGCCTCCAACCAGAAATCCATCTTGGGGTCTGTCCTCACAGGAACCTGATGCCAGAGCTGTGCGCTGAAAGGATTTAGACACAGGTATTTTGTGGAACTGAGCATTTTCCAGGTCTTGCTGAGGTCATTCTGTGTGAACTTGATGGAGCTCTTTCTCATGGGCTTTTTTTCTAAGTGTGGGAGAGCATGGCCTGCATGACTGCTGGCTTCCAGCACGTAGTGTGCAAACCCAAGCCAGGGTGTGTAATTCACTGTAGCCCTTGACAAAATAGCGGGGGTAAAAGTCATTTTTAAATCTTCTGTTTATTACTCTCAGCCAATTAACTTTTATCTATAGTAGAAGATATTTTACCATTTTTTTCAAAATGGAGAAATACCATGCTCTTTAAAAAGTCTTTTAGAGGCACAGACTTCTCAATTTCATTACATTAAAATCACCAAAAGGTAGAAAAAAGTGAAATTTACATATCAAAGAAATTTTCTCTTGGCAAAATACTCTATTTTGTGTTTTTGTGTTTGTGAATTTTCCATGCATGTGTCCAGTTGCATAGGGAGTTTATTCATTCAATTAAGTTAAAACATTAGATAACATGGTACATAGAAAAAGTAGTGAGAACACACTTTGCTTCTGTCTCTTTAACTGAGAAAACTGGCTGATGCCTCCTGTGTGAGAGCACTGTGTAGCTGATGCAGATATGGAAACTGAGCTTTTCTTACTTGGTGCCACTGGCCTGGGCACTGGAGGTTGGCTCCAGGAGGGCAGGGTGTCTGTTTTTATTACCACTCAGCAAGTGTCACACAAATACACGTGGGTGTGTCTGCCCTCTAGTGGATGCTGGAAAGCACTGTTCTTATTACCACTCAGCAGGCACCACACAAATACACCCGGGTGTATCTGCCCTCTAGTGGATGCTGGAAAGCACTGTTCTTATTACCACTCAGCAAGGGCCACACAAATACACGTGGGTGTATCTGCCCTCTAGTGGATGCTGGCGGGTACTGTTCTTATTACCACTCAGCAGGCGCCACACAAATACACACGGGTGTGTCTGCCCTCTAGTGGATGCTGGCGGGTACTGTTCTTATTACCATTCAGCAAGCACCACACAAATACACGCGGGTGTGTCTGCCCTCTAGTGGATGCTGGAAGGCACTGTTCTTATTACCACTCAGAAAGTGCTGCACAAATAGACAGGGTTGTCTCTGCCCCCTAGTGGATCCTGGCAGGCACTGTTCTTATTACCACTCAGCAAGCACCACACAAATACATGCGGGTGTGTCTGCCCTCTAGTGGATGCTGGCAGGCGCTGTTCTTATTGCGACTCAGCAAGCGCTGCACAAATACACAGGGTTGTGTCTGCCTTCTAGTGGATGTTGGCAGGCACTGTTGTTACCACTTGGCAAGTGCCACACAAATACATGCGGGTGTGTCTGCCCTCTAGTGGATGCTGGCAGGCACTGTTCTTATTACCACTCAGCAAGCACCACCGTACACACCAGTGTCTCTGCCCCCTAGTGGATCCTGGCAGGCACTGTTCTTGTTACCACTCAGCCAGCACCACACAAATACACACAGGTGTGTCTGCCCTCTAGTGGATCCTGGCCGGCACTGGGAGCAAATGTGACTATAAACAAAATTAAAGATTTTAAAAATACCCATTATCTCCAGAAGGGATTTAATTCTAACAGGAGGCTTTTTTGTTTTCTTTTTCAAATGGGCTGATGTGTAAAAATAATACAGGACTGGAGATGATGGAAAAAAGCACACTGCGTTTGCCTTTCGGCATCTGTGATGACTGAATCCTTCCTCAGCGCTGCCACAGGGAGCACATTCACATTTGTGTCACACAAATACCAGGGTTAGGTCAGAAAACCAAGTGTTACCTGGAGGAAGCCACAAAGGCTATGAGACTAAGCCTTCACCTAGAAGACACTTGACAGTTCAGAAGCTGAGATCCTGCAACGTGTCTCAGAGAGTTCAGCTGTGACCCTGCACTGTATGGAAGGGTGGGCAGTGGGGCCCAGGCAGGTGAAGAGAATTGTCCACTGTTGAGCATCATCAACCTAAAACCAACATGCAATGCTGTTGCTGCAAAACCACCGACTGTTGAAGACACAAACCACAGAAACAGAACCCCTTTATGGTCTCACTGTGCACCTGGTGACCTTTCAGAAGATGAAGATTAAACATATTAATCATGAATTCAAAGTATCAGAAGAAATACTAGGAGATTTTCTAACCTCTGCTACCATGACTTTTTTTTGGCAAGATTCCTGAATTATTGTAAGCTCACATAGGCCAAAGTGCTCCCCTGAAGTCATCCAGAAAGAGGCAAGCTGCTAATCCCCATGTCTGACACATCTGTGTTTTCTTAGGATAATACAAAAATTAAAGATAAGGGAGAGAGAGAGGGACAGAAAGAGACAGAGAGAATTGGAGCTAAGAGAAAACACTTTCATGTTTTGACCCCCAAAATTCCCAGTGAACATTCCCATTGCCAGCGGGTGAAATCCAAGGCCCTGGCTCTGGGATCCTGCTCTTCCCTTTGTTGATTCCTGTTCACATTTGGCATAGAAGCAATATGGAACTTGTTACACTTCTCTGGACAAGTCATTATGCTTTTGGCTTATAGGCTCCACTTCCCCAAACACTCCTTTGTCCTAAACTTCAAGTAATTCAGCTTCACCCTTCAGAGAACAGCTCAGCTGTCACTTCTTCTAAGGACCCTCCCTAGCTGCCTCTCCAACAGAAGGGCCCCCACATTGTTCTGTGCACCTCTGTCCCTCGAAGTGCTGCTGTTGTCTGTGGAGGGTGGGACCCCGGGGACTAGAGCCCCTCTCTGCTAGAGACACTCGGCACTCAGTAAGTGTGTGCTGAGCGGATACAAGTGCAGCAAGCTTGCACAGTCTTACAATGTGTACTCTCATGTCTGGAATAGAGCCCCATTTTCATTCTTTGTAAAATGAGTAAGTGGGGCTGGGTGACCCATACTCTCTTTTCAACTCAGAAGTCCACTATGAGCCTGACATCAAATAGCTTCCCAGCCAGCACCAGGCCAGGACTCAGGTTATTCAATGTGCCTGTGTCCCCCACAGCATGGGGAAAGCATGGAGAAATGGGATCAGCTCTGCTGCCTGCTGCCCAGTACCAGCCAGCAACTCCAGGCTCACAAAGCCAAGGCACCTGCAGGAGATCTTGGTTATTTAGTAGCTGTGATTGAGCTGGGAGGGGAGTGTGTTCACTTCTAATTTTCCAGTGACTAGCACGAGACAGTTTGAAATGTGATTTTTTCTCTTGCCCCCCCCCAAAAAAAAAGGCTTTTTTACCTTCTCATCCTTGGAGCCATTGGCATTAGCTATGGGCCTGATAGTTTAAGAAAACTTTATTCTCCAAAGTAACATTTTGATAAATAGTGTAATTCTTTATTACAGCAAAACCATTGCTTAAGTGGGCAAAACTCTAGAGGATAGGAAAACACACTCTTGAAAAAAGGTGGTGATGCCCTGAAATTCAGCAAACTGCAGGGGCACGTGTTGTTCTATCCCAGGTCAGAGTGTGTTAGTCATCACTCAATGCCACTCACAGACCACCAACTTCAGAATATCTAGGTGTAAAGGTCTGTACAATAGTCATAATATAATAATGTAAACAATTTTACGTTATTAATAATTATCATTTATATTATACAATTACACAATGTAAACACTATTAAAACATGTTTGTCTTCAAAGAATGGCCTTGGTTTCTGTGGGCAATGTCTCCTCATAGAAAGGTAGTGCATTCCTGCTAAATCACGGACAAAATGGGCCCCCAGGAGCTCCAGGCTGCAGCAGCAGCTTCTTATCTATGTCCTTCACTGTGTGATGTTGTTGTTGACTTTGAAAGCTCCTTTTTGTCTAGTTTTATCAACAGAGCTGGTATTTCATGAGGATCTACTACATGCCAGGTTCCAGAAAGCTAAATGCCTTTTGTTTGTTATTATTCACTAAATACAAATAACAACTCTCTTCTCATTATTCACACAACACAATTTAGCGGAGGGAGATTGAGCGACTTTCCCAGGGTCACACAGCTACTAAGAGCAGAGTTGTGTTTAGATTCATGTCTGAATACTGAACACTGAAATGAACCAGAGGAAAAATCATACATTTCAAAAGCCTATTCAAGCCATTTGTTCTTATTTTAAGGAAAATCTTTATGCTAATTTTAAACTCCAAATACTTATGAATGGCAGAGATCTACAGATTTGATTCTGATGTAAGAGATGATGCTCCCCGGCTGGTTACTGCTACTACCCCACAACCCTGAGCATACTGGACAAATGTCTAAGCCTGGTGGTTAGTGGGGACAATGCTGGTGGAGTCATGCAGTGACTCATGAAAGCTTAGGCAGATTTGGTGATATATGACACAGAGATGCAAAGAAATGCAGTAGCTGACAGACACAGGATGGCTCTGGGAGATGCAGAAGGAGCACGTCACCCAAAATAGAGCCAAACGGGTATCCTTAAGGAAGGAGCAAAGGGGCTGAAGAAGGGACTTGTCATGAGAGATGGGACAGGAAGTTCTCTAGAGGCAGAGGGAGAGCATGAGAATGTCAGGAAGGGACGAGAGATTCTTGCACATCTGGGAAGCTGACAATCCATCAGCATGGCCACGAGGAAAATAAGGAGAAGTGGAAATAATAGATGAGGCTGGATATAGAAGCAGGGTTCAAGCTGTGTGTATTGTGGCAAAGAGTTGTGATTCTATCCAGAAGGCAATAGGTGGCATTCTAAACAAAGATCTTTTAAAACAAGAGTCAGAAAATATTTTCTGCAAAAGGCTAAATGTTAAACACTTTAAGTTTTCCAAGCCATATGGTCTCTCTGTTAATGATTTAGCTCTTCCATTGTACCATGAAAACAGCCAGAGATGTCATATAACACATGTATGTGGCTGTGTCCCAGTACAACTTTACTTACAAATGCAGACTGCGTCAGACATGGCCCATGCATAGTAGTTTGCCACACCCTGTCTTAGAAAGCTCAAGTTTGTGATATGAAGGAGAATGCCTACGAGAGCTCTTGTTTTAAATGGTAGAGTGAACATACACTGCAATTCTATCCTGCCTGACCCAAGCTCTTGATAGTGAAAGGTAGAAAAGATAGATAGTAAATAGATAGATGATAGGCAGGTAGATAGATGATAGATAAAGAAAATACATAGCTGTTCCAGAAAACAGAAAGGGATAACTTCATGAACCAAAAAGAAAGTAATATACTTTAGAAAGGAATCAGGCTGGAAAACCTACAGTTGCAAAGCGAATAAAATTTCCAATTGCCTCTTTGAGTCCCTTCCTGGAAGTAGTCACAGCTGACTTCCTTCTTTGTTTTTTGCTTGTTTGTTGTTTGCTTTTTTGTGGGGTTTTTGTTGTTGTTGTTTGCTTTTTTAAAAAATCCCTTTCCCTGCTTTTTTGTCACAGCAGCCTTTGTCACTTCAAACACCGCAAGTGTTCTTTAAAAAAAATTATATCAACCTTTCAATTAAAATGCAACATGTCTGCAACCTGGTATCTAGAGAGGTGAGATGGACAAAGGAGCCCTTGTTACTGCATGTTTTCTTGCCCCAGCCTTCCCCTTGCACATAGCAACAGACAATGCACAAAGCCACTTCCTTATGGACTGAAATTCTGATCCTTTTATGACTGGCCTTTCCAACTTTCACTTTCCCCTCTCCCATGCTGTGAACGATTGTATTGGACACTTTTGCTTTAATCTCAGTGACAGGGGAACACAGGTAGCTCTAATATAACTGTGACCCAGATGCTTCTGTTTCTAGAATGTATTTATTTTGTAGCAAACATTTACATCCATCATTTTTCACTGTCTTTTGAAAATAATTAGGCAATATCTCATCTGAGGTAGAATGTTTCTAGTGGTTGTGTTCTGAGGGAAAAAAACTAATCTGTTCTCTATCCACTGCATTCCAGGAACAGTAAGAGGACCTTTTGCTTGAATAATTTTTATCCACACTACAGAGTAGGTAATGAGCAGATTATATAAAAACAATTCTGCTTCACTTCAGTAACAGCCTCCTCAACTCGTTTTTTCTCAACAAACTTATTTTTCCAGCAGAAGAATCCCAGGCTTCTTAGAGAATCCAGTGACTTTTTGCACCTTAAATCGGTGAAATCATCAATTTTCTTCTGCCGTATCCATAGTTCAAACAAAGATGAGGCAAAGCCAGACTCATTCCTGAAGGAACCCAAGAAATTCCTCCTTTCTCTCTCTGGAATGAAATGAATTCTCTAGACCGTCAGTTCTAACCTTCAAAAACCAAACCTATTTGTGAGATCTCCTTCAAATACTACTGTAGACCCCAGTGTTTATTCATCAAATTTTTTGAATATTTGTTTTATTTGGAATCAATTTATTTGTAAGTTTAGTGTTTGTATTAATATAAGGGAGAAATGTTTAAATCTGTCTATGTCATATGTGCCTCTGGCTTATTGCCCAATTAATTTTAGCCTCAGGCTAAACTTTGGTTTGTGTCTTTAATTTTTGTCAGAACAAATATAAGTGATCTCAAAACATCTGCTTTTATTGTAGGGACTCATGCTGCCATCTCCATTCCTCTCTCTTTTCTTGCAATCTGGGTGGAAATTCTTTAATATGAACATTTCAACCACCTTCGCTCTCCCATGTCCACTATCAGCACATTCAAACTTATCCAGCCAAGGCTGTCATCTTAAATCAGGGATTTTTTAGGAATCTATTTTGCTGTGATATGGCTGGCACCTCTTTGACTCATTTTATCACCCCAGGGTTCTTTTCATTTTAGGAGCCCAAGAGGGCAGAAAAAGAAGTAGGCAAGCAATTAAACCCTCTGAGTCAGGAGCGTCTCCCCTTGTGTTAAGCAATGTTGTAGAATATCGTATTTAGTAAGCTCCTAGCAGATGAGCCACGTGACTGCTGAGCACACATACCTGCTTGCTGCTGTGAGCTCAGACACCATCATCATTAGTCTTTTCCACCTCTGGAGGGAATTACAAGGGCCACTTAATAACCTGTAAATCATAGAGAGTTAAAGGTGTTTCCCCAAAATGCTGATGACAGAATGAAAGGTGAGGAGTGTTAGCCACAGGTCAAAAGTGCAGCAAAGTCTCTCAATGTGGGTTGTTGAAGAAATGTAGGTCTTTTTTCTTTTGGAAGTCTCAGGAGAATGGGGTCAAGGACTCTGCCGATTCTAGGATGAAAAATTGGGATATTAGACACCCTCAGATATTTATCCCAAGTCTTCATTTAGGGCTTTTAATTAGTTTGTTCAACCGTCACAATCTCAAATGCTAAGCAGGGCATTTGAATCTCTCCACAGTCCAAATCAGCACCGTCTTTTAAAGTTGAGTTTCTCATTATTCTCACCTGATATACCTTATTTATCCCACACCCACCCAATGACATTGTGCTCACTGTTATCTTGAGACAACACTTGAATTTTACTCAACCTGGAGTGCTCTCCACATGTCTTGTCCAGATCCAGTTTGGACTCATTCTTCAGCCCTGCATCAGTCAATGGGAGCTAGGTTAAACTGTGGTGACAGACAACCTCCAAATTTCAGTGGCTCAAAAATCTTCTTCCTCATTTATATACATCTCATCATGGGTCAGGTGAGAGGTAGCTCTGTGCTGTATCATCCTAACAGGAATCCAGACGGAAGGAGGGACCATCAATAAGATCCCCATTGCTATAGAAAAGAGAAAAAAGCATGTGGAATAGAACTCTGTTTCTTGGAAATTTCTCCTGAAAAAGCCACATGTTATTTTTTTCTCACCTCCATTGGCAAAGAAAAAAAAAAAACAGTCATGTGGCCATGTGAAAATTTAAGTAGGTGGGATAGAACAGTCAGAATGCATTCATAAAAAGTGAACTGAAAATATTTGGAGAACAGCACCAATGATTATCGTGAATGCCAACATGAATCCCAAACAACCCAGTGTTGTCACTCTCCAAACCTTTTATGTCTTGCAAACTATTAGAACTTATCTGAAGCCATGCCACTCAGAGGGACTACAAAATACATAATGACATTTCCTTTAGGATGTCCTTAGAGAATTCAAGGAAACGAAGTTAAATAATTTAGAAGTGCATTTGGGTACAGCTATTTACCACTAGAGGGTAAGACTAGAGATAGATCGTAAACATAATAACAGGGATTATGCTCAGACTCAGGGTCAGAAGTATGGTTTGAGGTGGGGTCATGGTCAGGGTCAAGATCAAAGTCAGGGTGAAAGTAAGGGTCAGAATTAGGGACCAGGGTAGGGATCAGGGTTTAGGTTCAAGGTCAAAGTCTTGGGACAGGGTTTGGGTTAGGATTAGAACCAGAGCTTTGTTCTCCTCGGGACCCACCTGAGAGTGGGTCACCATGGCTTTGGAGCACCTAGTAGTGTGTCCACCTTGAAGACCAGAGTTTCGTTGTCCTTAAGACTGACCTAGGGAGATGTGGCTTCAGGCCATTGAGGAAGGTGAGGCAAAAGCTTCCTGTCTGCTCCCCATGTGCTGAGGAGGGAGCTCTGCTATGGGCTTTACTTTCACATGTTACATTCTACAAGTCTTGTTTTACAAAAACCTCCCTACCTTGAGGCTTTGGCTGCTCGTCGCTGTTCATCATCACAGCGTGCCATAGCATATGGTAAGATTTGGGTTTGTTTCTGGGGAGAGATCTTGATACAGAGAAAGGAGCAATGCTTAGAGCCACCATCAGGACAGTTGGGATGAAAGCTGGGGATGGGCAGAGGCTAGAGGAAACATGTGCACCCTGCTGTAAACACTTTTATTCATGTTTTAATTACTAATTTTTCTTACAGTGTTAAAGTGGTAAAAAATAGTATTGAAAAATTGAAAAGTAGCCATATTAAAACTTGCAACATTATTTAAGTTTAAATATATTATTTGTACCTCATCAAAATTTTTTATTTTGTTGAGAAAGTCTAAGGTTAATTGGCAGCATATTTGTAATAGTAGGTAGAATAATGTCTGTTTTATAAACATTGACATCCTACATTACATGTGTGAACCCTGAAAATCTGAGACAGCTCTCGGATTTTTTAGAAAGTGTATTTTGCCAAGCTTGAGGATGCATGCCTGTGATGCATCCTCAGGAGGTCCTGACAACACGGGCCCAAGGTGGCAGGCGCTCAGCTTGGTTGTATACATTTTAGGGAGACATGAGACATCAATCAATATGTGTAAGATGTACATTGATTCAGTCCAGAAAATTGGGAAGGCCAGACAGGGGGCTTCCAGGTCATAGGTAGGTAAGAGACAAATGGTTTCATCCTTTTGCGTTGCTGATTACTCTCTTCAAATGAGGCAATCAGATATGCATTTCTCTCGGTGAGCAGATGGGTGAGTTTGCATAGAATGAGAGGCAGATTTGCCCTCAGCAATTCCCAGCCTGACTTTTCCCTTTAGTTTAGTGATTTGGGGTCCCCAAGATTGATTTTCCTTTCACAAGGTCTAACATGTTTTCCTATGAGCATTAGTTATTCATTGTGTATTTTATTACACAAATAAGGCACAGATTTTTAAAAAATCATAAACTTTGTGGCTAGCTATATGGACATAATTACACAGAAGCTCAATTAAATTTGCAAACATTCCAGAGCTTGGGTTTCCAGTAATTTTTTGTGATTCTTTAAAAGGTAAAAGTATTTTTTTCCTGTAAAACATAGCAACATCTAAAATCAACTGTAGAATGTCCTGCTATTTTTGTTTCTCTAGTTTCCTCATTTTCTGCAAAGCCTCACTGAGGAAATTGACTTTAAATATCCTTTTACACTCTTCTGTTTTAGAAAGCATTGTGGTAAAACATTGAATCATCATGGTCATAAGTTCTTTCCACATACTTTCTTTCTTTGAATATTTTTTCCCAGTGGCTAATATTTGATTCTGTTGTATTATGGCTAAAAGGTAGGCATGGGCATGAAATAAAGACAAGAAGTCTTTGGAATAACTGATCCCATCACAATGAATCAATTTTCCATTGGAACATATTTTTACAAAGTCACTGTTTTGAAAATATTTAGCCATGAATTGAAACAGAGTCTGTAAGGTTATTTTTTTTTTCCTGGTCTAAGGCAAATAGCATTTTAGAGAATGAACCCAGGACACAACCACAGCACAAGAAAAAAATATGATAATTAAGTTTACACATATGTGTGACTACTCTAACAGAAAACATGTAAAGAGCATTTGTTTTGATTTATTAATCAATCTGCACTGTTTAATTTTTTGTGTCATAAATGCTCTTATTTAAAAAAAACAGGACTAGTTAACAGTGTCAATTACTAGTAATTCGTGGTATAAATAATTAAACAAGGAAGTGTTCAAAAAAATAACTGTTTTCAATAAAGTTTTATTTTACATCTTTTTTTTACTTACTCAGAAATTGCCCCCCCCAAAAAATGCATAGATTTCCCATGTAGCTGCAACCTAGTTTCATCTCTTATTAACATCTTCTATCAGTGTGTCTCACATGGCTTATTAATATCTTACATAATTTGTCATAGTTAATGAACCAATACTGATAGACTATTATTAACTAAAGTTCATATTTCATTTGGATGCCCTTGGTTCTGTCTTACTCTGACCCAGGATCCCATCCAGGATCCCGCATGACATGTAGTCATCACGTCCCTGTGGGCTCTTCCTGGCTGTGACAGTGTGTCAGGCTTTCCATGTCATGATGACCTTGATAGTACTGAGGAGGATTGGTCAAGAATTTTGCAGAATGTCCCCCATTGTCACTGCATGTTCTCAAGGTGAACTGTCATCTTTGATGTTCACTTGGATCATTTGGAAGAGCTACTGTTTGTCAGGTTTCTCCACTGTGAAGTTATTTTTCCTCCTTGCCCATACTGCATGTGTTCTTTTGGAGTCAGTCACTGTGCGGAGCCCACACTTACGGAGTGAGGAGTTGGCTCCACATTATTGATGGCTGAGTGCCTACATCAATTACTTGGATTATTTTTGCAAAGGAGATTTCTATGCAACTCCGTTTTCTTACTGACCTGTGTATACAAATACAGACACCTAGATAATTACTTTCAGCTTTAGTTATTATTCAACACTACAATTCATTCCTGTGTTGGCCATCAGTAGCTGTTTTTATTGGCTATTATTTTTCTTTGATGTATTTTAATTTTTTTTTTAGTACTTACTTACTTTCTGATACCTCAGGATTATCCTGACTCCTATATTTACTGTCCCAGTTCTAGTATCAGACATTTCTTCAAAGAGCCTGATTCCTTTCAGAATGTTAGGAAAACTTACATCTGGCTGCCGAATGAGCACATGGTTGAATGAGCACTTGTTCCTCATTAGCAATGCTAGGAAGTATATGTGTGTGTCTAACCTACCTATACA